ATATATATTATATATAAAGACCTATGACATTTTGTAGAAACATCTCAAAGGACAATGCAACAACATAACTACGGCCTTGATTCTGAAGGCACTGAGAGGTAACTCCAAACATTGGTAGTTTAAGGTTTTTTAACTGACGATTTACACTCTGTACATGTCGTAGCAGGCCAGATATAATCCCATTAAAGATACAGATGATAATCTGTCAACATTAGTCTCTTTTTGCGATACTGGTTCTGTGAACTCAGCCTTGCACCTCTTTTCAAGCTTGAAAGACTGACGGTCAGGGAAGAAGCTTCAGGACAGGTTCCAAGAAGCACCCGAGACCTTTCCATTTCAGAGCTATGTATTGCCACAGGGACCCTGCCTTGTCCACCTTTGAATGATTAACAACATATTTTTGTGTATGAAGAGGCTAGCACTGAGTAGAGACAACTGATCCCTTATTTGCTTTCATAATTTCTGAGGAGAGCAGTACCCATGGCTCTCCGGAGTCAGCCATTACCAACTGCAGTGTGATTAGACAGTGAAGCGGAAGAGACCCATATTGTCGCTGTCTTTGGTTCGTTTGGTCATGATTCAGCTCCTTATCCGAGTCCCGCTGCAGTGTGAAGAAAGACCACCATGCAGGCCTCCTGTGCTCACATGCAGGACTATACTGACGATTCGCTTCACTTGCCAAGTTGGGGAAAAAATGAATAAAATGATGAAGGATAATCTCAGTCATCGATATGTCGTTCCTTGGCGATATCCATTGTGTTGTGAGAGTTGGGCGAAAAGGGGTGGGGGGGGGTGGACTTCCTAAACCACACGGGGAAGATAAATCGTTCAGAAACAAACTCGTTCACATACTGAATGGTTACGTCACTGTGCTACCGATTGGTCTCCATGGCAACACGAGTTGCTCAGATGACAATCTCCATGCTGATGTCACTCTCGTCTGAGGCGGTAAAACCATCCACACTCGAACTGAGGGCTTCCGGTGGAAGTGCGCTGTCCTCCGACTCGCTACAGACGTACCACACGTCTTTTCCCGCCGTTTTTCGGCAAGGCTTCGAAGGAACACTCGTAACACCACGCACTTGCTGGAGGAGTGAAGGTTTGACCAGAGGTGGTTTCACCTGCCAAATGTTTTCATAGATGATCTCGTCTGATCTCTCCCCACTCTCAGATGTGTTCGGACTAGCCTCCTGCCCCTCTGATTCCTTCTCTTTCTCTTCGTCTGGCACGTTATCGGCTTCAACCCCCTTGAGTTCTTCATTCGCATTATCAACAGCCAAAGACGACGAGGGAACGCGAGACACTTTAGATTTGTTTTTAGCATGCGCAGACACCGCATATGTATCCTTGTTCGTTTCTTCGACCTGAGATTCATCATTTATCCCCTTTCCCTTATTGGGTTCTTCCACACGTGGGCTATTTATAGAACCACCTTTACCCTTACCCTTGACTTGTCCCTGGTCCAAAGATCTGACGTGGGAGGTTTGCTCTTCGAGTACATCTGTGACGTCAGCCATGACGCGAACGCTGAATCGAGGGTCGGATACTCCTGCGGAGGAACTGTTGATTCTGTCTTTTTTTCTCTTCTTATCACCACTAACTGAATGCTGCAGCAGCTCGCTGGCAAGTTTGTCGCTCTGCACGACCGTCTCTTCTTCTACATCTTTATCATCTGAACACATTGTAACTTGAGGTAGGCAGTTGTTAATACTAATGGGATCATCGAGCACTTTCGATTTTGAGGTAGCTTTCTCGTACTTTTCAGAGGTATGAACTTTACGACGAGGCGAATGCTTTCGTTTCGCTTTGGGTCCATAACTTGGGTCCGAAGCGGGGGAGGACAGGATTTCTTCTCGTCGAAATCCTGAATCCTTGGTGGATATTTTAGAGTGTTTAGAGAGTCTGTTGTTCTCCGATACAGTGTTCAAGTCTCGAGGAGAGAATTTGTCTAGTTTCTGTTTCTTGTTGCAACCCGAGGAGGGATCGAGAGAGCGCTCGTGGTGGTGGTGGTGGTGAGGTCGATGAGAATGTTTGTGGCCGCGGGGCTGCGAGTGGTAGCCCTCGGAGTTTTGCCCCTCGTCTTGGGTCTCGTCCGTGGGCTCGGGAACTGACGTGATGGAGCGCATGATTGACGACACCTCCGAGTCGCCGTGGCAGCACTGGCAGCCTGTGCATCCTTCGCTCTCTGTGTCGGCCATGCCCCAGACACCCCCGCGCTGAAGTGACGTCATGGGGAGGCGGGGCCAGTCCAGCGTGCGGTCTGTGCTGTAGCCGTCAGAGTACCAATGATGATCGCCGTGGCGTTGGAGCGAAGCCCCGCCCACTACCCCTGGGACCGGATGATGATGCTGGTGATGGTGCTGGTGGAGGTGACGAGGAGACGACAGTTCACCTCCACGCGGTGATCTCGGTATGTTTGCATGGTAACCATGGCAACCCGTCGCCACGGAAGAGCGCTCATCGTCCGCTGTGTCGGCAGTGTCGAAAGTTTCGAGGCTGTAGTTGAGGAGCTGGTTCGCGAAGTTCGAGTCCCCACTGGGAAGCCACACTGGACGTTTATTTGAACCGCTTCCTTCCGACATATCGCAGTCGGTTCTCACTGAGCTCAGTTCCGACTCTGAGGTAGTGTTTCGAGCTAACGACTTTTTCTTTTTCTCCTTGCGCCGCGGCAACTTGCCGCGCGGCGAACCAGCCTCGCTCTTCACTGCTGTCTGCGACACTGCCACCGGACAAACACCGTGATCGTGATGCTGGTAGGGATGGTGGTGATGATGCTGGGGGTGGGAGCATGGCGGCCCGGGTTCGCTCCCCTCATGCTCGCTGACATGATCGTGAATCGTCGCTAGCTTGTGTTGTAATCTCGCGTGGGACGAGCTAACAGTGGCGGTGGAATTCCGCTCTGACACGGAGTCGAGAAGAGAATCCTGAGCGGCGTGCTTGTAATACTGTCCGCAGTACACGGCAGACTGCAACCATCCTCCGTTCACGCCCGGACGAGGGGGGATAGGCGGGTGGGCGCTATGGGACCCTAACTTACACGACGCACAAGCGGTTACAGCGCTGCACCCAATATTTCCTGGAATCGCCTTGTCACCCGCGACGTGGAAAAACTTGTAGTACACGATCATAGCAGTGATGTACACGGCGAAAACGGGCGCAGCGATGTAAACGTAGACCGAATTCCTTTCGAACTCCGCGCTGGAACACTGCACTAACCACACAGCGATGAGCGTGGCGTTCTCCAGAAATAAAACCACGTAGTAAAACGTGTATCTGAACACGGCGTTCTCCGCGCTGGTGTTGATGAAGGCGAAGATGTAAGCGAAGGATGTGAGAAGGCAGAAAACGGCCCGCCGTCCACTGCCTGCCCCACGCCAGTCCAGTGCCGTGATGACAGGAATACAGAGGCAGGCGGCCATGGCGAGCCAGTGCAGGCCCAGCACAAGGAAGATCCAGTGCGTGTACAGAGAGGCGAACAGACCGAGGCACAACACGCGCACCAACACCTCGCCTCCGCGCCACGTGACCTTGAGGACGGTGCCCGGCCAGGTGATCAGGACGGAGTCCAAGTCCAGTTCTGAAGCCCGGCGTCTGGGGAGTGAGAGAGAAAAGACCGATGGTGTTGTTACTGTTGTAGTTGTTGTTGTTGTTATTTTTTGTTGTTGTTGTTGTTGTTGCATGCCAATGATGTTGTTGTTGATGATGATGATGATGATGATGATGATGATGATGATGATGATGATGATGATGATGATGATGATGATGATGATGATGATGGAACTTTATGGAATACACTTGCTAATGACCTAATTGTTCTCATTATATTAATTTAATTTTGATTCTAAATTAAAACTCGATCGATCTGATGGAGTTGGAATTGTATTTTGGGTTTTGATATAATATGTTTACGACCCTTTTAATAGTATTTATTATTGGCTTGATCCCCCCAAAAAAGTGTCAGCATTATCATTTCCGCCTTCAATAGGACTGAGCCAGCTTATCATTGCAAGTCTTGAAAGTGAAAAAAATCGCGTTGGAATCATTTCAAGATCGATCCCATGAACTCCAGACAAAAGGCGAACAGTGCAACCACTACTACATGACAAAAAAGAGGGGGAGGGGTTGGAGTGGGGGGAGGAGAGACTTGGAACTTGTAACAACTATTGGGTATCAAAAACCTCAAAACGATGTATGGTTCACTTTAACCCTTTCCGTACGCCCTGGGGTCATTTTGTATCCCCGGGGTTGTATTCTTCACATTTTAGAACACTTCTAGTACGAAGAAGAATCTGTATTACAGTTTTAGAATTCATTTGACTTGATTCAATCTGGTATTGGGGGGAATTACCTACAAGCCCTTCTGCTCAAAATATGTCAGTATCAGTCAAAAATAACGAACAAGATTCTTTTTTTAAATCTCTGAGTACACTTGCGTATATGTACAAGAAAAAGAAACTGGAGAGGAAAAAAAGGAGGGATGGGAGCGAAGACCAAAGTGTTAGTGATTCTTAATTTTGAATATTTTGATGGAAAAAAAACACCATGTCTCT